CACATCTGGATCAGAATTCATTTGTAGCTCCAATGTATGTTTAACTCTGGGAGATCCCCATCTTGGCATGTCTTAGGTACATCTGGATCAGAATTCATTTGTGGCTCCAATGTATGTTTAACTCTGGGAGATCCCCATCTTGGCGTGCCTTAGGTAACACATCATGACACATGTCAACCCACATTGAATGGCCCAAGATTTCCTACAATACCACTTGATATGGCCCACCCCAATCGATATACTGATTTAATAATTTAGATATAACAAATCTAGAACCACATGAACTTAAAATCTTGGGCCAATTATTAGTAGACTCATCTAACAATATATGCTAATCTAACACACTACCAATTTCCCAACGTGGGACTATTAGGGTTTTACAAAAAAAAGGCCAGTTAATTGAGGAAAAGTTTAATAAATCTGATTCACAAAGATAAGATGAAATTTCATTTAATGTATTGTAAAATTACAAATTAAAGTTTATTCATGTTACAGATAAAAAATGCAAACAAAAACTTACTTTATCAGTTAAGTCAACAGCAACCGTCTCCCCATACCTCTGTATAAGATCTCGAAAATGGCGCTCAACAACCTTTGGCTAATAAGAAATAAATTAAAGTATTGGAAGACATTCCTTTGTAAAGGTTAAAATAAGAAATTTACACAATTATATTGAACTGGCATTCTTACCGTTTCATCATGGTTAATAATATTGAGCCGTGGTTTGTAGCTTAAGTCCACAATTTGCTCCCAAAGAAGTGGAATAGAACCCCGAATCTAACAAAAAAAAGGCGATAATAGATAGATAACCTTTTTAGCAAAACCTAATGAAACTCTGAAAAGTTCTAACACATTACAACACCACACTTAGTCTCACTTAAAATCAAAAGGAAAGTAATCTCAAGCTTCAAAAACTTATTTTTACTGACAGCAAATTCTTACTGAGGATCAAGTTTTTCTTTGTGCACCTCAGCAAAAGTAAATTAGTTAGAATTTTTGCAAATCAAGCTTGGGGCATTCCAGTTTGTTGTTGTTGTTGTTTGTACCTCAGAGGTAAATCAAGGTGGTCAGATAAAAAGAAACAACTAGACATGTTTATTTGAACCTAAGCACCAGGCAGTGTTAACGTAAATGAACAACAGGAAGTGCATAATTATGTTACCCTTTTAGTTTTTTCTGCATATATGAACCTGAGAGTTTCATATTCACATATATGGACCATTAAGAGTTGTACCCACTCATATTATCACTTTTTAAGAAGCATATATGCAATTTTGATATAATATTATAGGATATATGCAAAAAATTTCTTCTTTCTTTTTCTAGATATTTGCCAAAATGGATATCTGTGCTGCCATAGATAAGAGTCACATTAATACTTCACCAGTATGACTCGACCTTATTAAAAAATCAGCTGCCTTGATAATCTCAACATCGTTGAAAAATAATAACACAACAAACACATGTCTGACCATGAATTATAATGCCGAGCATATTGGTGAACCATAATATAAAGAAATAAAAATATTAAATAATGAAATATGGTCTCGGCAGTTGCTTCCATTTCATGTGGCGTATATTACAAGAATGTAATGTATGCTCGAAATAGGACAGCACAATTTCAGCATGATTAATTCTCTTCAAATTGAATATTTTTCTACAGAGTACAAGCAAAGTGTTTTGCAAACTATGATTCAATACATGACCTCTTGTACATGATGACAATCATGAAATTTGCTAGGTTATGTTTGTGCAACTAGATGATAAGATCACCTGTATAAATGATGATCTGTAACCTTCAAACTCCAGAATTTGTTCAGTCTCAATAAAATTAGCAGTGGAACCTTCCAGATTTGCTCCTCTTCTCCACATCCTAGTTCCTGTTTAAGAACAATAATGGACGTATTGTATCAAATCTGAACCAAAGTCAACACATGACCATAAGTGCATCATTTTTGTTTCAACACAATACGAGAAGCATATAGACATGAAAATGCTGTGAATTTAACTGTACCTAGACGACGATTGCACCTTCTTGAGATCAATGTAATTCTGGCAGGTGAATCTTTTAAGGCGAACTGTACAGACTGAAAGCTTAATCCACTGTTAAGAGAAGCCCTCAAGTATCTTGACATGAAAATAGCTTAAGGTGCAATTTGTGGGTAAACATGCAAAAGAACTTCCAGCAATCCACCAATCAAACTGAATGTCATAACAACTTAATGAAACCAACCTGATCATGGAAGCATGAAGTAACATTTGAATTCACATATGAGAATATGCACCGGAAAGACATTCCATAGGAACAAGAAAAGCAAGCATATCAAATGAGTATTTTTTGGCATTTTCCTTTTATGAAGGACAACTACAAACTTTAGGATATTTCCTTGTATCACAGGAATGGTAAAGGCATCAAGCTGCAAAAAGTTACAGATGGATATATGAGCACTTGAGATAACACAATTGGCAACTTCATAGAACTACAATTAGAGTACTTATAAGTTATAACCTTATTCTCAATAAGATCCTCCATCAAATTATGATTCCACACAAAGCGTGGGTCGGCCTGTAAAAGTTTAAAAAAGAAAACTTAAAATTAAGTACAAAAAAATAGCTAGATAACATTGGCAGGAAACTGAAAATTGAAGATATCTGTAAAATGTTGCAGTGATTGGAAATTGTGACATTTTCACCATGAGCATAAACATACAACCAAATCTATTTTGAGGTTATTTATGAAACTAATGACATCAGATACAAACTAATGATATCAATTTCAAGAACTTCATGCACATGATAATATATTCATTCAGAGATTTAGAAAAAGTGTAATAAGGTGCATTTTACTTGTATTCCAAATAAAATAACCAATGAAATATTTTATGTCTCTATTTAATAATTGAGTTTCACGAATAAGGAATTTAGCTAGAGGAACATGGAGCAAAATAAATGAACAATCAGACATTGGCAAACATGTTATGTAAGTAGTCTGCACAAAGACAAAGTATAAAAGACAATAAAAAAATAGGCTAATATGACCTGTTTCCATAGAGGCTTGTGCATCCTTTCTTCAGTCAACTTGCATGTCCTCTGTAAGCTAGAATACCAGTCATAGTTATTGCTTAGTAACATGAAACTTTGATGTAATACATAGTATCAATACTTTAAAATCACGTACCAGGGAAACAATTGCAGTACAATTTATTAAAAGTAATGCAATCGAAGTTTAAAGCACCAGATTCAAATAAGCCACAAACTAGTATAGGCATAATACTTACTTCAGTGTTAAATCCCTTTCATATGAATAATATAAACCAGGGGTTGATTCTAGGGTTCTCAGAAGAGACATGAAGTAAGCTTCATCTCTTTTCTGCATGTAAAGCAAAACTACATTTAGAAGATTTACAAACTGCTCAAAGAAGCATCAAACAGTCAAACTGGAATTCTTTCCTCCTCCCTTTTATCTAGAGCATTAGAGATGACTAGCCTATCAACGATTTTATGGCGACTAAAATCAAACTGAAGATCAATCAATTAATAAATCATACTTCCTGCGATTTTGAATGCTTTAGAGACCCATTGCAGGACAAAAATCTCATTGACATCACATGGAATATAGAGAAACCAAGACAAGAACCAACTTCCTCTCGAGAAGTAATAAGTAGCACATAAGTTCCTGTATCAACATAAAACATTCAGCTCAAGAGAAAAATAAGATGAAAAGTACAAGCGATGGAACATCCAGCATCAAATGTATTAAATGCATGACAGCTAAGAGAGTCAAAGCATCAAGGATCTTCTTTTAGTATGAGCCTGAAAAGTTTCACAATGTTCTTTGGAAAACCTACAATAATCCCAAGCACATTTCCCCATATCAAAGAAGATATATCTGGAAGAAACTGCATGGAAATTGGAAAAGAATGGCCTAGTTCATGGGCTCATTTATTGCCGAATCTGTAAAGGATAAATATGTGCAGCATTAACCATGCATGTGAAGATGTTGTTTTTGTTCTTTAAAGTTCAAACATTAAGGGTAAAAATAATGATCTTACAGCTAAAAAAGCTTCACCTTGTATGAATTTCCACAGATGTAGCAACAAAAAAAAAAATGAAACATGGTGAAAAACAAAAAATGCCATAGGCATATATAGCACCATATAACTTTACCCTTCTCAGTCACTCCAAGAGACAAACTACAATCAGATAGTGGATATGACTAGATTATAATACAGTTATGCTTACATTTACTCAGTACATCTTGTGTCACATGAAATTTAGAAATAAAGTTTCCCATCAGCAAACCCCAATAAATTGCAGAAGTGCTCAGAAATGGTAGCATAGTGAATATACAAATATTATATTTACTCATGCAATGAAGAAACAAATAAGGATGTTGAGTAGATTTAATAGCATTATAGATACTGACAATGATGCAAACCAATTTTCATACTTGTGGAATAACATCACCTCAAGGATAGCATCAGGATAGAATTTGATTAAATATACTTATGCAAAAAAAAGAGTTATGCACAAAGATGTTGGTTGAAATGCTAATTTCTAGATGTTGTCCAGAATTTCTCTACCAAAAATGCTAACATTTGATTTAAAATGTAGCTAACATTTTCAAGTTTTTCATAGTTAAGTATATGATGAAAATGGAGGATTTAAGGGAAAGTCTATAGACAGAGTTGAGTTGTTGAAATTTTAATGTGCAACCTGGTTCGACATACCATGTAGTATGTACCGGTCCGATGACCTGTCCACTCGATGATGCAGATCATGGCACCATATATACTCAAATCTTAAAAGAAGTTCCATGGATACCGGTCTGACCAGGAACCCACAAAGGTCCATATTTGCAGGTCAAGCTCTAAAAAGGAGTCTTAAACATGGAAGTTTAATATATTAAGAATGATGCCAATTCTATAAGATTATCATGTAAAACTTTAATAATTACAAAAAAAAAAAAAAAGGCAAAGCGTGATGGTCACAAGAGTGAGGTCAAAAATCACCCAAAAGTTGTCATCGCCCTGTAAATTTACAATGGGCAGAAGGATAATAGTGTCACAATGACCCAACATGATTCCATGCCCCTAACATGATAGAAGCTTGCAAACTTCACTAAAATAACTCATAACAGTTCACACCTGCTGCTAAACTTGATTACATATCGGGAAAAGTAACTAATGAACAAAAGTACCTGCAGGCAACTTTATAATCCCGACCACTCCATAAATCGTTGAGACTTTAGGGGTCAAAGAACTAGAATCTTCTGCAATGACAAAGAGGCATCAGCACGACGTGAATAATATTAACATCTGTAATAGTCTTCAGATCTAAAAAAACACATATATCATTAAATTAAACATAGTAATCAGCACGGTATCTAAGTGCAAGAATTAGAACAGTCTAAGATACATATAGAAAGCATATTAACAAGAGCGAAATATACTTTTTCTTGTCAGCATAGGCACAAAGGTGAGAAAAGTTTCCAAAACAATGCAGGACAGTAGATACATGTCTCTTCTTGGCTCAGGATTGAACGTAACCATGTAGTTTGCTAACCGATATTTGTTTTGATTGATCTGCAGGCTTGTACGATGAAATACTTTTTGATCAGAGAGATAAATTCGCTTAATAGTCTTACTATTCAGTTTTTGGCTTCATGACTCCGCCCTAATTCTTCCAAAATCCTTCATCTTTATCCCAAATCATTAATTGCTGAGGTACTCCTCGAATATATAATCTACTACTAAAAAACCAAGGTAGCGTTTGTTGAAGCAAAATTCCATCTGGTTATAATCTCAGCATTGCTGCCTTACAGGAAACCCTATCGCCCTTATAATAGAATCAAGACGCATAACTCGGTAGCCAAAAACACAATTCACGAGCAAATATATTATTGGTTCAAATGAGAGGATCAAAGCGATGAAGCCGCCGAATCTTAAACAGGAACAAGAAGCACAAGCCCATCGCCTTAATACAAGTCGAGAGCAAGTTACTCACCGGACCAAAATGCGCACAAGAAACATCAAGAACGAAAGGGTCAAAGCGATGCGATCGGGCCATCGAGGGGGGAAAGAGGACGAGAGGGGGAATTAGACTGACCGAATAGTGGCTCGATGAGGCCATCGGAGCGGCCGACGGAGAAGGCGTGATCGGGAGCGTCAGGGTCCGCGGACCGGACCACGTACCTGTCGGGGAACTCCAGGAGGCGGAGCTCCCGGCAGCACAGGGCTCCCAATGGCCGGCTTCTTCCTCCTCCACCTCCTCCTCCGCCATTGCCACCAGGCACCACTCCTTCGTCCTCCATTCCTGACCGAAACTTTGCTTTCTTTGATAGATGTCGTCGGCGAGAGAGAGGAAATAGTCGTTGCGTTAAACGTCGCGAGTCGAAGCCTATATTAAGACAAGGATATACTTTTTCGAGCCGTTTACGACTTGCTCAAATACATTCCCACCCGTTAACGGATCTGAGGGCCCCACGGAACTCTTCTTGGAGACCCAGATCTGGCTTTCATTGATCAGCCAGGTAGGTAAAGGGTACAGGAACTCTCGACTTAATAAACCTAAACAGGTTTTACATTTATCATTCATATATATATATATATATATATATATGTATATATATATATATATATATATATATATATGTATATATATATATATATATGTATATATATATATATGTATATATATATATGTATATATATATATATGTATATATATATATGTATATGTATATATATATATATGTATATATATATATGTATATGTATATATATATATATGTATATATATATATATATGTATATATATATATGTATATATATATATATATATACCAAGGAATGTTTATGTTTTATGAAACGTCAATTTCTTCAATAAATTCCAATTGATCAATATCAACCATACTTGCAACAAAAGGAAAAAAATATCGAGTTTATCGTAGTTACTACAAACTAAAAAAGTATTATAAATGACTTCGACATGTTATTTCATTGTATTGTGACAGGCCGCTTATGCAAGCCTCGCCAATACGCCGATCAGAGCCGCATTGGTGGCGATGGCGGGCTCCGCTTGCTGGTAATTGGATCGGGAATCGGTGTAGGCGTCGTTGGCGTCGGGACCGCCGACGAGGGCGCCGTCCAGCACATTAGGGTTGGGCGAGTTCCTGTTGAACCAATCGAACCCTTCCTTGCACCCAATTGACTTCGGGTCCGCCTTGATCGACACGATGGAGGCACCCCTGTGGTGCACCTGAACAGGGAAGTTGGACCCGAAACCCACCATGTAGCTCATGGCCTTTGGGTTGGCACCCAAAATGTAATCCACCTGCGAGGTGGCGAAGGAGATGAGGTCTTGGGGGCTGACGCTGCCTTGGGGGCAACTCAGGGTGGCTTTTGCGGCGGACAGGTAGTCGGCGTAGGTGGAGACAACCAGCATGGAGGAGGTGACGTACTGGAGGTTGGCCCATGGCAGGAACCACAAGATTCCGCCGGGGCTCTTCTGCACGTTGTTGTTACCCTTCTGCACTACGGAACAGACGAACATGTCGACGTTGTTCTTGTACGCCGCCCAGGGACCGGAGTTGGGAACTTTGCCTTCCAGGAGCAGCTGTACAGGATTGCGCGAGCGTTATCGATCTGGGATTCCTGATTACAACGGGAAAGAACGAGAGGTAGGTAGGCGAGAGAGATGATACCTTGGTGACCAGGAGCTGGGCGCCGACGTACTTGTCGTCCCAGGAGAACATACTGCGGACACCGCCGTTGTTTCCCGAGGAGAGGATGTCCAGGTAGGTCTGCTCGCCGGTTGCGCGGTGGAGCCATGCAGCGGCCCAGACTATCTCGTCCTGGTGCAAGGGTGATTCCCAGATAATGCAAACTATAATGTTTGGTTCCTTAAGGGTTATGAGAGGCTTACATCGTCTCCGCTGCTGGAGTAGAACTGTCCGGCTTGTGGGACGCTGTTCTGATAGAGACCACGATGGTTTCTGGCGAATTCGAGTAGCTGCACCACCATATATACAACAGGTTAAGGTTGAGCAGACGGCATTGGTATCGGAATAAGCGCAAGAAAGAGCTAAGAGAAGATGAACCTGTTTTGCGTGGGTGAGAAGTGTGCCGGAGTATTTGGGGTCGGAACCCTTGAAGGCAATAGAGGCCGCGGCCAAGGCGGCGGCAGACTCTGCGGCCACGTCGGATCCGGGCTTGGAGTCGTCGATCTTGTAGGACGTACGAGGGGTGGACATGTCCTCCGGCCTCTGCCAGCAGTCGTGGTCGGAGCTGCCGTCGCCGACCTCGACGTAGAGGACGTCCGGCTGGGGGTGAGCATGGATCAGGTAGTCGGTACCCCACCGGAGGGCTGCCAGAGCGTTACCGATCTCTTTCTTCGCCTCAAGCCTGGAGTTGAACTCCACCACCCCCCATGCGATAGCGGTCAACGAGTAGGCCAACGGGAACCCAAACTTCACGTTGTCCCCGGCGTCGAAGTATCCTCCGGAGAGATCAACCTGTTCCACACAGATCCATCAATCCCTCTAGAACCAGACAGATTATATGGTCGGAAGCGCATGGAGAGGGACATACACCGTTATCCTTGCCGTCATTGGGAGCAGAGTCGCCGCGCCAGGTCACTCGCTGGCCGGGCGGCAGCTTCCCCGACCTCTGGGCTTCGAAGAAGAGCAAGGACTTGGTGAGAGCCAGTCCATAGTCTTTCGTGGCGCAAGACTGCCCCAGGAGGAGGACGAGAATCAGAGAAAGAAGAAGCAGCGTCTTCGGGGCCATTCTTGAGCGCTGGGAGAAGTCGATCGCTGTGCGCTTGTCGTCGTTGTGGCGACACAGAGCGGATCAGCCATAGTTATATAGAGGAGACGAAGAAGGAGAAGCAGAATGGAGACAGCAGGAGGTTTCCATGCACGGGTGAATCGTATGTAAACCCTTCCAACATGAGATAGCCGAGAAGGCTAAGAACTTATGGCCTCTTCATCTTTGAGCCATGGCTGCGCAGCTTACAAGGAAATGCTTATATTTACAAATATGACGAAATTCTAAATGATTATACTCGATTTGCTTAGCACTTAATCGGATAAGTACGTAACGTCAATTCTGGGATGACCTACGCAGGCTTCAGTTGGTCGATGTCGAACCCGAGCTCACACGATCTTCCCGATCACGGGCCACATTGGATTGGGTCGAGCCAGCTTGGCGGTGATAACAAATATAGAGGTTAACTTATATTCGTCGACTACATTTCTTGGTTAGAAAAGCTTTAATGCCAATGGTGGAATGGAAAAGACGGTGAAAATGGATGACATTTTAAATCGACATTAACTTTCAAGTTTTCGATAACTAAATAGATAGATGCACCAAAATTCCAACAAAAATGGTACTTTTTCATTTTCGTTAAGAATAATTATAAGGTAAAAATATATTAGCAAACGTTACAAGTCATGACGGGCTTTCCACCTTCTTACAAACATTACAAATATTAGATATCCTCATTCTCCGCCTATTTTTGCTCCTCGTCTTAGTCCTCCCTAAAACTTTCGTAATAGGAGTCAAATATGATATTAATAATTTTTACATTACTTGTCTTATTTTAGGATGATTTTTATGAATATTTTTATGCTGAATTTAATGTATTTATTATTAAATTTATAATTGAGTGTATTTTACTTTCTCTAGATTACCTAAACTTTTCATAATTTTTTCATTTTAAATTAATTTTAAGGGTATTTTTTATTGAATTTGGTATAATTTTTTTTTTAACTATAAAGTTTTGAGTATATTCAAATTCATTTTCAAATTTGATAGGGAAATAATGATGTTACTAACACCTTGACACTAAGCAATCGGTAAGTCGGCACTAGGTGATCGACCTTTTGGTCGTGTGCGATCGATATGGCATCATCCTCTAAATGTTACTAACAACATTGTGCTTTTCATATGTTCCTCATATTCAATATAAGAAAATTTGAATAACGATTTAAGGAGTATCTTTACAACCCTTGTCATGTGGATCACTGCTAGAGAGGAAAACAGTTGATCTCCTTTATCCTTTCTTATAGATATATAGGTCTTTAAGGATATACGATCACCTTGAATAATACATCTTTCTTATATGTGCAGTTTTCAATTTCGCGGGTTTTTGCACACCAATTTTTGTATAACAACAAGAGTTTATTTTTCTATAAAAATCTAGGATTTTTATTTCTGTTTTTTCACTGCGCATATGATGTCGTCTTAGATTTCTCAATAGTAGTATCAGAGTCATGCTGTTCATGTGAAAGATTAGTTTATAAACTACATGTGCTTGTGTTTAATCGCACAAAATTATTTTTACATGATTATTATGATTTTTGTCGTAGTTTTAAGATCTAGACTGCACATCTTCTCCCTGCTAAAAGGTACTTTAGAATAATATTTTGTCACTAAAATTGTTGTCACAAAACATAGGAAAAGGGCAGCAATTGTTGCTGCTTGGTCGAGAGCACATCTTGATGCTCTCCACCTGGCCAAAGGTAGCAAGGCTAAGAGCAACAAGGGTGCTCTCGACCTGGGGAAAGGTAGCCCCTTGTAGTTAGGTTTCTTGGCTACAAAGGGTACCCTTGGCGGTCAGGGTTTCCTAGCTAGATGGGGTAACCTAGCGACCAAGGTTTCCTAGCCGCCCATGCACACCCTGCAGCCAAGGTTTCCAGAGGCAGCCTTAGGGTCTAGGGATCCTTGGCCCCCTAAGGTAATCTTGCAACCAAGGATTCCTGGCCGTACGGGTAACCCTAGTGACTAGGGTTTCCTGGCCGCATGGGGGCACTCTAGGGTAGGGTACCCCAAAGGGTTATAGAATGATTAATTAAATAATTTAATTAATTAATTAATTATTATTATTATCTAGTAGTCCTATATGACGATGTACACATGTGATGTGTGATGTGGACGAATGATCATCGACTGTATGATGTGAGGTATATGTGTATTGTGATTATTATTAT